CTAACTGACATTTTTCTATTATATCAAGTAGTGGGTTATGGTCTACTTTGTCAAATGCCTTACTGAAGTCCAAGTAAATTATATCGACAACATTCCTTTAGTCACTTTGTCAAAGAAAGCAATAAGATTAGTGTGGCATGATCTGTTTTTGACAAACCCACGTTGGCTTTTGGTTATTATTTTGTTTGCTTCTAGGTGTTTGCTGATTCGTTGCTTCATTATCTTTTTCAGAATTTTCCTGGTATTGAGGTCAGGCTGATAGGTCTGTAGTTTCTGGATCTATTTTTTTTTTTACTTTTAGAAGATGGGAACTACATCAGCTCTTTTCCAGTTCTCTGGCAGTTCTCCGGTGCTCCAGGATCTTTGAAAGATATAGTTCAGTGGTTCTGAGATCTGCCAGTTCCTTCAGAATCCTGGGGTGTAATCCATCCAGTCCTGGTGATTTGAACTCATCTAGAGTAGACAGGTGCTCACTTTCTATTTTCTTCCCTATTTCATTTTGTATTCCTAATCTGATTTTTGTGGTGCTGTTTTTGATAGGTTGGACTGTTTTATCCCTTTGTAAAGACAGATGCAAAAAATGAGTTAAGTAGTTTTGCTTTCTCCCTGTTGCTTGTTACCTTCTTGCCACTTTTTCCCAGCAATAGACAAATTGTTTCCTTGACTTCTTTTTTATTTTTAACATGTTGGAAGAAGCTTTTTTCTTTGTTATTTTTTACTTTTGTTGCAAGCCTTTGTTTGTTATGAACCTTAGCTTTCCTCACTTCATCATTGCAGGCTCAGGATATGTTAAGAGTTCGTGTATTGTTCAGTATTGTTTGTTAATGTTGTGACTAGATGAGAAATTTTACACTCAAGTGACTTTATTGTTTGAAAGTATTCCGTTATCAGTTCTTTGAAGAATTGTTTAGATTCTTCTGGCATTTGTTTCAATATTACCTTGCTGGTTTCTATCTCTACTTTTGCTTAGATGCCATTCATATACCTTTAGCATCCTCAGGTAATTAAAGTGTAGGTTTAAGTTTAATTTTCACATAATTCTTATGCTTTCCCTAATAACTGTCTTGATCTTTCCTCCAGTTTAGTAGATGAAACATTCCTGTTCTGATGTTTGCTAACTTATTTTTGTTCTGCTTACCAAATAAAAAAATGATATTTTAAGATTCCTTCACTACTTAGTGATATTTCTATCCTGCAAATCATATTTTTATCTCTTTAAAAACTTTCTTCGGGGCCTTAATAATTCTTGTTTCAATTCCTACTCAGGAATTTAAAAGCTATGGCGCTATATATCAGATGCAGTAGACCTTGTATTCTAAGATTATGTTCTAAGCAGTTTAAGCAAAAAGTATCCATGAAATTATTGCTCAAATACTACTACTCAGAAAGAATAACACTGAATTATTTAAAGGTGACACATTATTCTTACTTGGTTTGTTATCTTTTTTAGATCTCACATTCTTTCTTGGGACTTCTGCTTTTCTATTCTTTTCTAAGTATTTTCTATGATTTCCAATTTTCTTTCCTATAAATGGCACACTTATCCTATGGTAACCACAACTGATGATCCTGTGAATGGCACAAATAGATCTAATTCATGTGCATATATATATTTTTAAATAAAAAGAAATGCAAACTTTGTTCTGTATTAGGAGAATCTCTTTTGGTTGGGTAAGATCTCACTGTGCTTGGTATGTTTTGCCCAACCATTTCCCTACATCTTCCCACTTCATTTATTTATACCTAGCCCCTTCTGCCCCACCCCAAGAGGTCACATGTGTAAGCATCAGCTCTACCACCATCCGGGTAAGTTGGGTACCACCACCGGCTCAGAGCCGCAATGGAGTCATCACGCAATATTCCATCGCGTACCAGGCAGTGGAAGGAGAGGACAACACCAAGCATGTGGTTGAGGGCATTGGACACGAGCACTCCAGCTGGGAGATCAGCAACTTGGAGAAGTGGACAGAGTACAAAGTGTGGGTGAGGGCCCACACAGATGTTGGTCCTGGACCAGAGAGCATCCCTGTCTCTGTTCGCACTGATGAAGACGGTAGGTTTTGACACATGGTCAAAGGTAACAGGGACTCTATTGATTGTTACAAGTTTGTTTCTTAGGAATGCACCTTGGATCTTACTCTACAATATATAAACAACAATGTCCTCAATTATTTTAGAAATACAGCAGCTTCTTTATAATCATAGCCAGTTAGAATGTGAGTCAGAGTCAATCAATAAGTAATAAGAGTCTTGTCCATGTGAGATTCAGAGATAAGTTCTGTTGTGTAGAATGCTGCTACCTATATAGATCTGCTTCTTAACTCTCTATCAGGGACACATTGAAGCAAAACATTATATAGCATTAGGTAGACAAGTCTGTAGGGTCTCAACTTAAGTTTCCTGTTGGCAGATTGACAGTACTCAGAGTGACTGGCACTTGTTATGTTACATTCTGGCCTCAAAACACTGGAGAGGCCATAAGTAAACATAGGAGAAAGAGAGCCACTCTTAAAATGAGAGCAGGCATTCTTTGGTTTTACTGCCTCTGCTGTATTACTCCTTGCATTGCTGAAATTCTAGGAAGTGATGCATAGCTATGTTCAGGGACTGTTTCCCAGGAAAAGAAACACATCTGCAGGTTCTGCTGCTTGATTTGTTTGCTATAGTTTTCACTTAGGAAAGCCTTAGCTAGAGGGGAGCTACTACCCTAGAAATGTCTTAGCAAACTTGAAACATTAATCTGAAGGCTGCATAGTTGGCTCTCCCAGGTAGGCTTTTTCAGGCGTGATTTTGAAAGCTTCCAATAACACTGAAGTTTCATAAATAGCAGGTAAGGTGAATGAAATCTCTTTTTTCGTATCTTAAAATGTATTTGTTAGTTAATACACTCTTCATAATTGGAGTGACATGTACTACCCCAACATAAGTCAATCCCTGAGTAGTTGCCATTAGCATAAGGCTCTGTAGGTAAGATTCATAGAAGCTGGGCCCTGCAGAGCTGTCACAAGTAATATTCAAGGCATAACCAACTCTAATAAGAAAAGGGGTCAATATGTTAAGACACGGCTACATTTACTTTCCACTTGCTTTTTGGAAAGCCTGAAGAACATACATCATTCTGTCCTCCTTTCCTTTGCTAAATCATGATTTCCCTTGATGCTCCTCTTCAAGTAACTATTTACAATTAGGAGTGAGATCTATGGAAAATAATGTGTTGCCTAAAGCTGAGCAACTGTCAGCCAGCCATATCTTTTTTCTGGAATCATTTTTGCAGATTTCACCCACTTCCCAGTCTCCAATTAACCTCCTCTTGTACTGACAATTGAGGCACTGTGTGCTTTTGGATGCCCTGGATTGCTTTTGCAAAAGTTGAATGCTCTTATGGTTTTCCACGCTAAGACTGAATAGCAGTATGGCAAGGAGGGGACTCTAAAATGAATGCATTGCCCCATTCATATGCAGAAGGAGAAGCTTCTTTGAGAGAGCATTCCTCCATCCTTTCCCTCTGTGCTCTTTTTTAATTTGCATTGATATTTTTGTCTCTAGGTGTAAGAACCCAGAATAATAAGAATGCGATTTTGCCAAATAGTAAATAGGTTGTACACTACCTTATGAGAAAGTACGTCCTTGTAAGAAAATTGAAATTTTTCAGGCAACTGCCATTTTTCACTTTTTATTAAAAAGCACCCTATAACCTAGAAGCATAAGCAGGCATCTCAATCTTCAGAACAGCCTTTTGCTGTAGCAGTGGAGCAACTCACCGTAAGCCATTGTTCTAAATGCTTCTTTCCTCTTTAATAAATCTGCTTCCGTTCTCTGCTCTCTCTTTAATGCAAAGAGAGAGGGGGGGGGTGAATCCTTAGTTTCCTGAGGAAAGCTTTGCATCTTCTTATAATAACAGGATATCTTAAACCAACGAAGATGCTGTACATGTATGCCATACACTGTTAATCTTTGAAATCTGACATGTCTATATATACACACACGTGTGTACAGAAATACTTGTTACTGAGAAAACTATTTGAAGAGTGAAGATTAGAGGAAGCAATCACAATTAAGGTACCATGATTTCTCTCTAATTAAGTTTTCCCATGTACATTGCAGTGCCCAGTGCTCCCCCACGGAAAGTGGAGGTAGAGTCAGTGAACTCAACAGCAATTCGTGTTTCCTGGAAATCACCCATCTCCAACAAACAGCATGGCCAAATTCGAGGTTACCAAGTCACCTATGTAAAAATGGAGAACAATGAACCAGTTGGACCACATGTCATCAAAGATGTCATGGTAGCAGAATCCCAGGTAAATTCTGTGGTTGATAAATATGCATACTTATTTGCAGAATTACCTGCATGTCAGTGATTATTATTATTATTTTGGTTCATAGGACTTCTATGAACACAGATGGGAAATCTATTATCCCAAATGGTGTTGAACTGATACTCTTTGAATTAATCCACAGAGTCATTGGTCATGGATAATGGAAGCTACAGTCCAAATGCATCTAGAGGGCCACAGATTCATTTTGTTTATTCTAAATAAATAAATAAATTTAGAATTTAAGGCCAACTGCACAGTATGTGGTATACAACACCATGTAACTAGAGATTGCAAGTATAAACTCATATAATGAAATTCAAATAATGAATGAAAAGATAGGATTAATCTAAAGAAATCAATTTGTGGAATAGGTTTAAGGAAAATACAACTAAATGGGCTTTTTGAATAACACATTCAAAAGGTTAAGTGTTATTAAATGTTGCTAATTTCACTAAAAATGGATTAAATGAGTTTCAGAATTGCCTTCTAACGTTAATTAAGACATTCTAAATGGAAAGTCTGGGATTCTTCAGTAGTATGCTGGAAATACATTTATGCTTTATTGATGGCTCTGTATTTTACTACAAGAGTTAATAAGGTTTATTATATTGGATTAATATGATTTGTCAAATCAAAGAACTTTCTGAAATGAAAGCAGTAATGAAAGGGTTGACTAGAATAAAATAGTTTTTGAGAAATCTAAGGTCCTTCTTAATATAATCCAGGGAGCAAGATAATATAAGCATTGCCTATCATCTCTTTGAAGTTGAGTATTTTATGAGGAGTTGCTTTGTGTAACCAAGTAATATACTCATAATGTCACTGAAATAAAGAAGAAACTAAGTCTTATGTTTGAACTATTTTTTGTAGTTTTTCTGCTTACTAAGACAGAATACCTTTTGCATTCAGGAGGGATTGGGGGTGGGATTCATGCTGGAAAAAAATCTGTAGTTCCTGAGGTTTCTACAGTTACAAGCTGGGGGTGATCAGTTGTGAGCTAGATTTTTTAATGGCACCCAGTAGAATTACAAGACAAGTGCACAGACTAATTGATTTTCTTCCTAAGTATAGTTGAATTATTTATCTCTCCCTCAACAGGCAGCAAAGCACAGCAAACAATAAGAAAAGAAAATAAATCTCACACACCTTTCATATACTAGAAAATAAAGCCCAGCCTAAGAATGAAGGAGAAATGAAATAAGAACCTATTAGCACGGGATTATATTTCTTGGATTAGATCATCAGAATTTCTATGAATCTTTTCAAAATGTTTGTATCTGGGAAGATACGAAAAAGTGATTTTGCATAGTGATTTTGAGAAAGTTGTCCCTTTAGCTGGTAAAATTAATCAGTTTGCTATCTTTCTCAAGGGCTAAAGATTTGCTCTTCAATAAACTATATGGTTAATCTATAAATATAATTTAATTATACTTTAATTAAATAATTTAATTAAATCCATTGAACCACCACATTTTGTATAGGAAAGTAAGAGAGTCTATGCAGAAACAGCCACAGAATAACAGATATCTTTTATCTGTTTATACATATATCTGATTATCCTTCATGGATATGGCTTGCCTTTTATTTCTTGAAAGAAAATGGAATCTGTATATCCTTCAAAAATGGAGGTGCAGTATAATAGTCTAAGACCATGCCTTGCAAAGCTTTCTATTTGTCTTATTTGCCAGATGAGATTTGTATTAATTCTCTGCTAGAAAGAGGCTTCATTCTGACTGTTCACACATATTTGTTGGGATATTTTTCAGTTGGTCTCCAGTCATTGTTTCTTGTAGAAACATAGGCACTAAACTGAGGATACATTTAAACAGCAAGAGATTCCTAGCAAATTAATAAGTCAACTACGTGTGCAGGCTAATTCTAGATCTCATCCAAGGAATCAGTCAGTGTGAATGGGAATTCCAATAATCTGTCCTTCCTGAAGGCACTTGCCGTTTTTTGTTTTTTTTATATGGGTGGGTGTTTCTGGATGACAACCAGACAGATGGAAAAGCTGCAAGCACAGTCAGGTGAAAGGCTTAAAGGCTAAAGGTGCAGCAATGTATCATATACTTGATCCAGCTGCCTGAGAACTGTCATAAAGCCAGAAAACCATTCAGATAATACCACCCTCTAAAATATTGGGAACCTTATCATCAGAAATGCAGTCAGCTTTCATATTGACCATTCAGATAATATTGCCTTATAAAATGTTAAAAGATTATCAGAAATGCACTGACCTTTTCACATAGCGTTGATAAATAATACTGTTCTGTCATTTACGTCCTCTTTTCCATTCATCTGGTCAAGAATATTTAAAGGGACATTTTGTCATATATAAAATACTGTTCTTCATTCTGTATTTAAAACTAATAGAAGGAAAATTTTAAAAGTATTACATATTCCTTCTTTCATTCAAATTTAGTAACTGATTGCTCCATAAGAGACACTTAACTAAATTTCTGTGCTATGTTTCTGCCTCCAGCTGAAAAGTAGCTAGCAGGACAGCATCAATCATTGTGTCCTACATGGGCAGAGAAACATTACTTTATCTCAAGAATTTGCCTATATGTATTACTTTAGCAGAGTTCAGGAGACAGTACTCTCCACTGTATAGTTTACCACATAAACATATTCTGCTTTTCTAATACAATAATTAAAGGTACTAATATGACAGTAACTTTGGATTCCAAGTATCAGAGAAAATCACACTGCTGTGCACATTTAAATTCTACTCTGGGCTTTGTGTGCCAATATATTTTGTGGTTTTCAGTCATATTCGGATATTTTGATTTGTATTCAAGATTCCAAGACACATAATATTTTGATACTTGACTGTACTGTATTCATTTTAGTTGTCAAGTGAGAAAATCATTTTACTTAGGATAAAATAAGAATATACAGTAGACGACATTATGCATCTTCCTGATTCTGAATATAACTTCCAGAACTCTTGCGATTAGTCAGATTGACTGAAATTTATGAGAATTGTCAAAAAAATCTGGAGGATATTTAATTGTCTACCTTGTGTCTACACACTGATTGACAACTTGTAAGATAAACTCAGAACTAAGATTTTAAAATAGCTGTTGCTCTCTTGAGAAGTGGGTCCTGGGTAGCAACTATTCCTCTAGAAAGAGAGTTATTTAACTATTCAGTTTGGCTTCATTAACAAGATCCACATGAGATTCACTGCTCTTAAAAAAAGAATTTTATTTTATTTATTAAGTAGATTTGTATGGCTGCCCAACTCACACACAGTAATTCTTTAATCAGACAGCTAAAATAAAGAATGTGCATTCAGCAATTGTATATGTAGTGCTAGGGCAGGCCTTCTTTGCAACAGTTTGTAAACAAGGCAGAAAATAAATCTCAGACTAGTCCTGGTCAAACTAATCTATTGGGTGCTCTTACTAGAACTGTAGATTTGGTGATATCAACTGCCAACATTAGCTCTACTTGCATTGGTTACCTCTCTCTAAGCAGTAACAGCAGCTGATATGTTTTATCAAGGCCTTTGGTTCCCTTAAAGCCATTTATCTTACTCAGTGACACTAAATACTTAAGAAGCAATTGGGCTGTTTTAGCAGAGAACTGTTTTATCTGGTAGGTAGCAGTTTTATAAATTCAAACATTTAGCTGTAGCTGATTTCATCACAGAGATGCTCCTAAAGCAGAGGATCCTCTGATGAAAGTGAAAGATTATAGTATGTTGAAATTGACAGTGTAACCATTTTAAAAAAAGGAAACTTAAAATTGAATATGCACCACCATTTTTCTGGCCCATATTACATATTTCTACCCTGTTCTTTTAAGAAATAGAGCAATTGTATAATTGTGAGGTGAATATTTTACTAATATATATATATATATATTTATCTTTAACAGTGGTGATGTATATGTCATATTTTAATACATTTATACCATAATGTTCTTTGGGGGAAGATTGTTATTGTTAGCAATGTCATTATCCACTTTTTGGAAATAATCCAAAGCATGTAATAAACTAAAGAATATCTGTTTATAACTGAAAATAATCGTCATTATATAATACAGCAGCTGAAAACCAGCAGTCCTTACTTCTTTGATTTAGGAATGGAAATGAATAAAGTTGAATATATTTTGCTAGCAAGAAAGAAATAGGAGAAAATAAGAAGTTTGCATATAGACAAGGATTTAATATACATGTGGGCAGGTTCAATCATGAGGGCTTGTCCACTTCCTCAGCCCCAACAGGATCAGACCCCTCCCAGAAAACAAAGCAACACTGTACCCTGGCCCAAGGCTGGTGTCTAACTGGAGCAGATCTGAGGGATTTTGTCAGCTAAATGCCTAACAACCTCTGAGCCTGCTCTATTCACGATTCTGAGATTTGTTTGAAGCATCAAAGGTAGTGTTCTGACTGAGGCTTCCCAAGAGCATGAAGCATACTCCTGGTCCCGACAAAAAACCCTTTTATTAATTTACTGTGAATTCTGCTCATTTACATACAGCAAAGTCTTTCAAGGGAGGATTTACAGTCACAGACCTTATCTGGCTTGGAGAGCTGCCAGGCCAATATCTGGAAAACTTGGCAAGGAGTCTTGGAGAGTCACGAGCCAATTAAGTGAACTAATTGTCTCCTGCAAACTCCACTCCCCTTTTGCTCCTCTTTTATTTCCTCTGGGAGGGGCCATTCATCATCCACCTGTAGCCTTGCTCCCAAGTCGACCCCTGTTCTTTAGCTGTTCCCTTCATCTGGCAACTCTGCATGCACACCCTGTGAACAGGCTCCAACTATTTGTCTGTCTCACTGATGTCTGACTCTGAAGCCAGCTGGCATATGGCATTGTCCCCCACTCTGCCTCTGACACAGAGCCCTCATCAGAGCCTTCCCCAGACTCCAGGACTGGTCTATGTTCCTCCCCAACCTTCTCACTATCCAAATCTGCTGCCGGTTCCACTAGCCGCTGGTGGGCCATAACACATAGCTACCCCTGAACTAGATGTAATAATTGCCTTAAGCCACCAGATACATGGCTAGTTTTGTCCTAAGTTCCAGTTTGTTTCGATGGAGCATGCCTAGGTATACTTAGGTTTGCAGTTGTCATTTTGCACAAGTTGAAAAAATAAGCTCTCTTGCTTAGCTTTATGGTGAGAATTAAGACAATTGAAAGCAAGTTAAATATCAGGTTCTAATGCATTTTATGTTTTTAAAGATACGTTTGTGAAGAATGGTATATATTATTGGGATCTTGCTAGTGCCAATTCTCACGTATGAATGTGTTAATCCGCATCACCATTCCCTTATTCTATCTCCATTTTCTTTCCTCCTTCTCGTCTCCGTCAGTTGAGGCTTAAGGACTCTGCTGACCACGTAAGTACCATTTATTAGTGTGTCTGCTTGGATCAAAAGGTTCTGAGGATCATCTTATGAAATCTTTGTGCATAGTGCTGTCAAAACATCCCCATCAATCCTCAGATATTTTGAGGAGCTGCTCTGGAGCTTCAACCAGCTACAAATCCTGAACAAATTGGTATTTAGATTGCAAATAATGCAGAAAAGCAATTGACATTTCTGTCATCTTTATTTCCTGCTTGTTGCAATGCAATTTAAGACAGTTGAAGGGAGAGCAGTCCCTCTTTACTGTCCTTGCCCAACTGGCAAAATCAGTTTTATATAATCTTTAAACTTCATTGTTCCCAAACGTGAAATATACTTTGCTCTCTCAGCTATGAAACACAGGCTACAATACGAAAACAATCACATTCAGTCAAATTCAATTTTTGGAAGTAATTTTGAAATATAAATTTGAAGGAAGAAGTTTGAACATTGCCCTTTTGGACAGTAGAACCAAGAGAGAAAGGGAATGCTTAAACTAGCTGGTATGACTTCCATTCCTTCTTAAAGAGAAGGGCTATGTTTGAAGGGGTTTGCCATGACAGCCCTATGCCTACAATCATTGGAATGGTACCTTTCTTTGCTCACAGCCCATGTTTTCTTTCTTTCTTTCCTCCCTCTTCCTGCTTCACTTTCTCCATTAGCATGTAAGAATATCTCTTTTGTGTGCACTGTGGTATTCACTATTTCTTTGGGTGATGTTTATACCCTGTAGTGCTGTATATTTTAGTTTCTCTTTCCATGTTATTTTAATTGACATGATTAATGTATTTTGATTGATTCAGGTCATTCATGCAAACTTCCAGGGAAAGGGGAATCTTTTCCTATTCTAATTCCTGTGTCATTTTGATTGGTGTTTTTTAATTTGGGTTTCCAAATGAAAACAATGAAGAAATGCTAATGATTTTGAGAAATCAAGAAAGTGTCATACTCTATCCATTATAGTAAAGATTTGGTAAAATGTTGTGCCTGGATACTCAATTGTACAGAGTTCTCATGTACAGAGTTAATATTTTTATATTCTGCTTGAAAACCTTTTGATCCCTTTTAAACAGGTTGCTCCCAATAGAATTATGTGACAGAACTCAGTTTGGTCACAGAATAAATAAATATGTCAGAATGGTTTTGCATAGCATACTAAATCATACAACCTGTTGATTTGCAAATGAATTCTATTTCACACCAGGGACGTGCAGTCAGGGGAGGCAGGGGAGACAGAGCCTCACCACTGTCATTATTAAAAGGAAAAAAAATGTGAAAGGAAAAAGGCAAGAGCTGAGGTCAGGCTGAGCTAGTTGCTGCCAGAGTCACCGTGGATGACTCTGCTTAGTGCTTAACTGTTGTAAAAAGCCTCTTAAAAAGTGCCCTCTATAGGAGGAGGCAGGAGAATAACGTGCCTCATGTAGTCTGGTGTTTTATGATCACCCAAGCAGAGTTAAGCAAGGGTTAAAAGCCAAAAAATTCCTGACATAGATGAGGCATGTCGTTCTCCTGCCTCCTCCTGTAGAGGGCATTTTTTTAGAGGCTTTTTTAAACAGTTAAGCAGAGTCATCCACGGTGACTCTGGCAGCAACTAGCTCAGCCTGACCTCAGCTCTTGCCTTTTTCCTTTTACTTTTTTTTCCTTTTCATGATGGCAGGCAGAGCAGAGTTGAAATCCTCTCTGAAACAGCTGGAAAAGGTACATGTGGGTCGGAGGGAGGGGGAGGAATTCAAACTTCATCCTCAAGTGTAGATCCCTCCCCAAGTGTAGTTTGATTGCAGGCAGAGCCATGTTGAGTTTTCAAACACACACACACACACACACACACACACACACACACAGCTGGATAAAACTATATAAGCCCAGCTTCACTGATTACAAGTTTGAAAAGGCAACGTGGCTTCGCCTGCAATCAAAGGCTCGGATAAGCTCCAATCCAACTTCTGTGTTTGTGTTTGTTTGAGAGAGAATGAGTGAGAGAGGGGAGGAGATAGTCCAATCCAACTTCTCTCTGTGTGTGTGTCTGTTTGAGAGATGGGGGAGGGAGGGGGGGAGGGAGAAGAAAAAGAATGAAGGAAACTTCACAAAAGAAAAAAACAAATGCTGTTGCTTTAAATCAGAACTGAGCATGCCTGGCTGTGGAATTCTGGGAGTTGAAGTCCACAAGTCTAAAAAAATTTGAAACCCCCGTGTCAGTGCCTCACCAGCCATAAACCTCACCGCACGTCACTGACCTGCACATAGGTTCAATGAATAGGGTATCTGATGCCTGCTATATGAACACAAAACTTTGGCTTTCTCCGTGCAGGGAAAAAATAGGAAAATTTGCTCTGGTTTTTGAATGTCTTCATTCTTGGGATGAATTAAATAAGGGTCTTGCATCAACTGATATCACTTTGATTAATCAAGCTGCAGAGTGCTCATTAACTCATTTATTCAAGGCCAAAACAAGGCTTCTGTTTAAAAAAGCATATGAACTACCTCAAAAGTAGTTTTCCCTAGCCATAGTCTACAAAACCAATTCCACCCATTCAAATATGATTAGACACTTCTTTAAAACTGTGAGTACATCAATGAAAAAGGAAAACTAGCATCCCATGCCTTTCTTTTCTATGGAGTTTACATCTTCCTTTGGTTGTTGTTTCAACCTATTTTCTTAATTTATGGGATGGGTACTTTATTGAACACCTGGGCATATAACGGCAAATGATTTAACTTGTCAGCCTCACCCACTTATCTTATTGCCCATCCCAATGCTTTCTTTTTTTGGTAAGCTTGTTATGTATTGCAGAGTTCTGTAGGAAAACTTTCTTGCCAATTAGAACTACTGCTCTGTTTGTAATCACAATCGTATTAGTTTCCTGCCCTGCCCTGGGGTTTGATGGTGGAGTTGTTTTTTGTTTTTGCCATGTATCTAAGTGATACATTGCAACACAGATTTTTTTTTCCTAACACCACATGCATATAATATAGCATGACCTGTTGATTCGAGGAACCTTTCTGTTAAATTTTGACTCAGTTTCTAAAAATAAAATTTGTCTTCCATAAGTGGTTTAAAATTCAATAAACAGTGATGCTGGAAAGCATTTTATATATAAATGAAAGTAAGAGATAGTAAAAATCAATCTAAACTACAGTTAAGTTGGTCTTCATTCTCTTACAGCTTTCCAGTACCATCTAGTCAATTAGGAACTGATCTTTTGTTCCTTAGCTGTTTGGGCAGTTTCCTTTCTACTAAGGTGGAAAGGGCTTTATTTTCAACTAGATGCTGTTGGGCTGCATCAGCTATCCGACAGTGGTTAGCAATTGGAAAGTTGTTGTTAAGCAGGTGATTGGCCTTTAGTTGATTGATGCAATCCTTTTTGTTGGATCTTTCATTATCAGGGATGTTAACCAATCTTCCATTCCATATTCTTGCAGTATGTTGTTAACTGCTTGGCAATGAGTCATTGTAGACCAATCAGATGTTTCAATCAAAAAGCATGCAATTTATCTGGTACTGACCATTTCTTGTTCTTTTTTGCTATTTTCTCTTATACTATTTCTGCTATTAGTACAAGTTGTTTCACTTCAGCTTCTTTTTATTCTTATCCACCTCCTTTGTCTAAGGTGCATACAAATTATATTTCTTTGGATTATTCCATAGCTGCTCCTGGAATTGAGCTGGTTTTTTTCTTTGTCAGATGTTGATTGGTTTACTGCAGTCTCCATTGATGGATTGGTAAAAACCTTTCAGATTCAATTGAAATTGAAGATTCTGCAGTGTGCAGTTTGAGCGTATCTGCGGATCATTTTGGCTATAGCTGTTATTTGCTGCTTTATTATTTCCAGTGCTTCCTTAGTTTCCCTTGTTTCTAGCAGTTGTTTCTTGATTAGGTCTTTTTGTTCTTCAGCTTCTTTTCTTTCTTCTATTCTATCTTGCTGATCTTGTTTTCCAATCTAACCACCAAGACTTACACCATTTGACTTTTTTTCTTCTTTGTTGATTTTTGCATCTCAGGTGTTCAGTTATAATTGCAACCAGGCTGTACATCAGCTGGTTTATTTCTTGCAATGAGCTGGTTCTTATGTTTGATATTACAGTATTGGCATCTTTTAATGCCTGTGCAAGCTCCTTTTTTAACAAGCTTCAATCAGGCAAACTTATTCTGATGCTTTTGTGCTATTCTAGATGCTCAGTTATTCTTCATTTCAGTTCCTTCTGGTTTTTTTTTCCAGTTAAAGGTTTCTTTATTTCTGAGAAGTTAGAGGAGAGAGTGCCTGGTTTGGAAATGAGAATGGTTTAATAGCTAGGCTGGCTTCCTCTACCATCAACTCTCCCTCTATTGTCTCTATTGTCTTAGCTACCTCTGGCAAGGCTTAGGTTTCTTTGGCCTGGACAGACCTTTGCAGGACCTCTTCTAATTCTACTTTTCTGAGCATTTTATTTCATATTATAAATTGATGCTGACCTGCTAGCTGCTATTCTGTTATTTCTGATTCTGATGTTGTTCTTTCCAGAACTGGTGGATCCTTTTTCAGATATCCTCTTTTTATTGAATTTGTAATAGCAAATCATTATTTCTTTGTTTTCAGTCTTTTTAGATTTGCAATGGGTAGGAAACCTTTCTTCCAGTAGTTCTGCAGCTGCTGGCCCTGGTTGCTCAGTCAACAATCCTGAATCCTGTAGTCCACTTGTCACCAGATGTCCAGAACTCCAACACCTAGCATGGTCTTATTGACCCAAGTAATAACTGGTCCAATATAGGTTTCTGTAGGTTATTTCTCACCATATTGTTTATGGGAGAGACACTCTTCATCTGCTTCTTCGGATGACATCTGTCCAGGATGGTTGAAGGTGTAGCATAGCTCTCACATTTCTCAGGACATGCTAGCAGCACAACTACGACAAGGCAGTGCCTCACTAAGGGATGATTGATTATTTTTATTAGCTGCTCAACAGCATTTGATTCTTCAGTGGAGACATTCAATTTAGAGATATTATTTTGTTGTTTATTGACTAAATTATTCACTTATCAGACCACAAGTAACTTCTATCATATTGCATTATAATTGTAAAGTTCCACAAACGTCTCCAGATGTTTTCTGCTTTCTGCTTAAATTAGAGGGGAAAAGTTGAATATCTGTGTACCTGATCTGAGAAAAGAGAAGTTTCTTAACCTGTATTTATAATCTTTAAAAAACTTGCCTTTCCAATTTGTAATTTTAACTCTGCAGTTTCAGTGAAGATATATATTAGCTGTGAGAACTGAAAGAGCTTGAAAACAAACACACTTTTAAATTGGTTAGAGGAAAACTCCAGAGTATATCTGAGAGTCAGACATGCTCTGCTATTCATTTCCTTTTCAATTTGCTTGATAAATATGATATTTTTTTCTCCCTACAGGAAACCATCATAGGGGGCCTTTTAGCAGAAACGACCTATTCTGTCAGCATCGCAGCCTATACCACTAAAGGGGATGGGGCCCGCAGCAAAGCCAAAGTGATTGCTACAACTGGAGCAGGTCAGGCATTTGTTCTACAATATGTCTTGATGGACAGGCCTACTTTACTATCTTTTTTGAGCTGCTGAATCATTGATGTAATTGGAATCATGGCAGAAATGTACATCTTCAAATAAATTGGGAATATTTGAGCGTTCTACGCCTAGTCTGTAGACTGTTTGCAGGTGGTAGCGAATGGAACTAAACTAAATACAGGCCTCTGTTCCCCAAGGGCCACTTCATCCTTTGTACAGGGTGGGGCATAACCTTTTCCTAGGGGGTCACAGCAACACTTGTAATAACAACACAAATAATTCATACACCATTCGAAAGCCCATCAAAAACTGAGTTTATTGACACGATTTAATAGTCAGTATGACCACCATTAGCCCTTCGAACAGCATTCAAACGAGGTGGATAAGAACACAACAAATCTTCAAACAGTTCCGTTCGATTTTCCAGATTTTTCAACACAGTTTCCAAATTCATTCTCAAAGTTTCAACCGAATATCGATTTTGACCTTGCTCCTGAATCATCAGAGCTTCCACTTCATCCTTAATTATGGCCCCAATGTTCTCTGCCGGATTGAGATCTGGCGAATTTCCCGGCCAGACGTCATTGCCCCAAAATTCGACATTGTTTTCGCGAGCCTCTCGAAAGGCAATGCATTTTATTCTGTCAATGATCCTTTGTTCTTCCGAATCGAATTTTCCAGCCATTCTTAAAGCAAATTTAACATTTAATAGCTCATTCAATTCAGTTTTTTATGGGCTTTAAAATGAGGTGTCGCGGAAGTTGTAAACTGCTGTCGATCTTGCTGTGACCCCCTAGGAAAAGGTTATGCCCCGCCCTGTAATCTACAGGTATTAGCAACCAGCAGATGTCTCAATCAGAACCGGAATACAATGATACTGTTGTGTTAATTATTGGTATTTGTTACTTTATCCTTCACCTCTTATTAGCTCTCATGGTTAACAGTTTTTTGTAGATTTATTTGCCATGAATTACCTTTTTTCAAAAATCATCTATACTGATGGCCATTACCACATTTCATGGCAAGGATAGGCTCTAACTTGTCTATCTCAGGCATATAGTCATCAGTTGATGTTGATGGTCCTATGCACTGTTTTGTCTGTTCTGATCCTATCTATAATTCATTGAATTATCTTGACTTTAGTATATGAAACAAAGAGAAGAAATTATATGTCCTTACAAGGTACATGGTGGGAAACATATATTTTCATTTAGATGCCTTTATTTGTGTCTGTCCTTCTTAATCTTTCCTTTATCTGGATCAGGACAACAGCTTTTAATCCACATAATATGACCAAGAATTGACAACATTGTGTTTATTATATGCACCATGCAGCACAAATAATTTTTTGCCTGATGCCAAACTTCAAATACCCAAAATTAAAAAAAAATTATCAACTTTTTAAAAATATTGAAATTCCCACATCAAGCATGAATAATAAAATTTTATCAGATTTAGTGACTTCCTGAGACTTTCAATTTTTAAAAAAATCTTTTGGTACCTGTATCAGTAACTACCCATATTAGACTCTCAATCCACCAGTGATGCCTTAGATTGGAAACTACCGAAGTATACAATTGTAATGAGTTAAATGTTGTGTAGGACTCAATCTTATCTTCTGAGCTGTGTTTCTGAATAAGTACTTAACTCTGTCGACTGTTTGGAAATGATATTTGAAACGAAGATAAAACTACAAAAACAGAAGAGCATTGAAATTTGTTGCAGTACAGAAATTATTATCCTTGATTAAGGAAATGCTGCATTTCTTATGCCTGTTTCTTCTTCCTGCCTATATAAGGACAAACAAACAGATGATGGAAATGGACTTGGGGACACATAGAGATCCTCAATAGAAAGCACACTAAGATTCAGTTGGAACTGCCTGCTATATTCAGGATTTGTAGTTACAGTCTTATCCAAGTATATCAAATGAGACAATGCAGAGCTTTTTAAAGGACTTTCTGTAATAGTCTCTTGTTTTGGAATGATGCCTGGTTGTTTACAGTATGCTAATTTCTGTTGGCTTCAGATTTTGCTCATTTTTTAAAACTTTAAACTATTTTTTTAAAGCAATGAATGAAAAGATTATCTACTCCTGTCTTGGTATTTGCCAAATTTCAACAGACATTCTTAAAACACTTTTTCATTGAAGAATATACTCATTCCAGAAATGTTAATGCAATGGTAGAAAGAGAAGCCAGGTATCTGGAGAACAAATGAGATCGGGAATACCTTTGGAGCATTGTTGTCATGTAAAAAGTGTGCATCTTCTGATCTAATCTATGCCAGGTAGTCTTGACAAAATTTTAGATTAGTTCCAAGTTCTACAAAATCATTCCATCAAAACTTATTTAAATTCCTCCTTGTACCATTCTTAGTGCTGCCATCTCTTAGTTTCTCTGTCATATCAATTCTGTTCACACTACCACCAAAGTATCCAATGAAACAAAAAAAGTTGGCTAAAACATTTTCCATAATCTAAATTCTAAATTTCGCAGAGGAGCATCATCATCATAACTTAGCTAAACCTACTCAAACCATATGTGGAATATTACTGTGTTGTTGTGATTTGTCTCTGGGTGCCACAATCCAACACAGGCTAATGCTTATTTTGGCAGTAAACAGGCTCTGAATGGTTCTGCAGCGGTTGGATTTACACATCAATTTCACCTGATGTGGGGGAAAGAGATGTATCTGTTGTGGGTGTAACTGAAATATGAAACCATTCATTTTATACAGCAGGTGTTAAGCTTTGATGGGAGCAGCCCTTAATTTGTACTGCTCATACAAAATTTGGAATCAGGTTGTTGCACAGCCATCACATCAGCATTCCTAGCAGGAACCATTCATCAGCTTAAACGCAGTGTATTTTGATTGCAAGCAGCATGCTACACTCTCTCAGGAGCTCACACAGGTGGTGAAATTATAACTGCTACTATGAAATTTCTCTGCATCAAACTAGCAGAGACTCCAAAGCTGAGTCTGGGCATGTCCTCAATAACTTATTCAAGTAACCAAATATCTATGTTATAATTATACTTTTTACCTTGTTCAAACTATCCAAGATTGCATTATCTGACATTTTGAAAAATGTTGGAGTTCAAGGAATGCTTAGATAGATGCACTGAGATTTAAGACAGAGCTGGGTAAGGAATCCATAGATACTGTTTTTGGTTGTAATATGGATAATTGTTAAATTTGGATATATTTATAAAGCTAAAAACCAAACTTGTATTTTCTGCATTTTAAATTATTTGTCTTACAATTTGGTTTCTTCTGCATGTTGCTACATCACTTAATAACATGCTAGATTAATCATTATTCTTTTTTTCTGGAGTTAAAGAGTCCACCATCCCATAAAATAAAGCCTTGGACAAAATATTTATTTTTATTTAAGTATGGGATACAGAGCGTAGTAAAAACTGAGCTACCCATTCAGAATTACAATGAAGAACAGCTCTTCCTAGGCCGAACCACTTCCGGGCACTTTGGAAGTTCACATGTGCCATCCTGGGTGTGCAAAATGCTTTAAACATTCTAATTCATTTAGATATGGGATCATTTATCTGCAGTCTGATGCAGCATAATCTCAGAAAAATCTGTGTAGATGCAGGATTCCGTTTGTAGCTATTTGAATGCTTCAAAATCTAAATTTCGCTTCCATTCATAGCCTAATACCCTGTTTTTGTTCCACAGTCCCAGGCAAACCTACTATGATGATCAGTACAACATCTATGAACACTGCTCTAATCAATTGGCTCCCGCCCAAAGAGATGGTTGGAGAGCTCCTGGGCTACATGCTGCGATACAAATGTGCCGATGAAGAGAAGATGATAGTAATTCAGTTTGGAAAAGATGACGATCACTACACCGTGACCAAACTTTACAAGGGTGCCACTTACATCTTCAAATTGTCTGCAAAGAATAGGGCAGGTCCTGGGGAGGAGTTTGAGAAGGAAATAAGTACTCCAGAGGAGCCACCAAGTGGCTTCCCTCAGAACCTGGAGGTGGTTGGGCTTACCACCTCTACCACTAAAGTGACCTGGAATCCACCACTGCTGGCTGAGAGGAATGGAAGAATTACCAACTATACAGTTGTATACAGAGACATAAACAGCCAGCAAAACCTGACCAATGTTACTAAGGAACAAAGTATCACTCTGACCAATCTCAAATCTGATACAACTTACGACATCAAAGTTAGAGCCCACACTAGCAAGGGAGCGGGACCTCTGAGCCCCAGCATTCAGTCAAGGACGATGCCAATGGAACAAGGTAGGCGCCTCTTGATGTGGTCAGAATCCCTATGATAGAAAATGGGTAAAAAATGTCCCATTTGGTCTTATCTTATTCAATCTTACTATACCTTATAATAGGGGAGGGAAAGAATAGGCATGAACATTGTATCACAATGTAACCAATTTCATTGTATTTAAGTACAATGACAATAAAGATTATACTTATACTCACAACCAGTAGTGGGATTCAAAAGTTTTTACTGCCGGTTCTGTGGGCGTGGGGTGGCTTGGCTGGGCATAGCAGGGGATACTGTAAAATTTCCATTCCTTCCCTACCCCACTAACCTGCTTTCCAGCTCCATTCTCCTGTGCAGGGCAACACAAGAAGATCCAACACAATCAGCTGGGACTCAGGAGGCAGCAAATACATGGGGGCTGAGCCAGCCAGAGGTGGTATTTGCCGGTTCTCCAAACTACTCAAAATTTCTGCCAACGGTTCTCTAGAAGTGGTCAGAACTGGCTGAATACCACCTCTGGTCACAACCAATGTCATGTAAACTTTAAAAAAGAATTTCTTTAAGGAACCAGTACCCAGTAACTCTTTTGACTTTTGGTGATGAAGAGCCAAAAGAGGAAGTGAAAAATCTGTGTTAGTTTGAATGTAAGATGTGAAAGGGCAAGATTGGATAACAGTTGCCTTTAGTTGTTCCCCTGACAATGCTCAAGAGAAGTCTTTTTAATTGCAGTGTTCGCAAAGAATTTCCGTGTCAGTGCAGTGATGAAAACCTCAGTGCTACTTTGTTGGGAAGTGCCTGATTCTTATAAATCGGCAGTACCATTCAAGGTAAGGATCTATCAGCATCCAAGTTAGAAGCCTTATCTAAGTGTAGTAATTACTGTAGAGTCTTCCATGCAGTCCTAAATCTGACTTTGATTTGATAAAAGTGATAAGGGAACAGACTCTTTATCTGAAAACAGTTGTTGTGCTGCCACCAGGTCATTGTTTGTTGAAACCACCTAAGCATATAAACCTAGACAGACACATCAGGATTTTGGCAGCAGAATGCTTTGTCTTAGCTGCTGCAGAGTTACCTGCACTTTCTCATTCCTATCTCCTTTAAGACTCAGTCACTAAAGTGTAGCAATCAGCCACTAGGCAGACCCTCCAAATTCCTTGCATATCCTAAATTCTGCTGAATTATTAGACTATATTAGTAAAGGGCACAGAAACATAAAGTTTGTACCATGGGAGTTTATTCAGAGTAACTCATTTAGCTAAGGTAATATTTAAACATAATATGCCTATTAAAATGCTTTTTAAAAAGGAAGATAGTAACCCTAAAAAATTATAAGCAAAAGATCATAATGAGAGAACAAACTGTACCTCCACCTAATAAAAAATGTACTTAGAAGGCTGATACAGGTAACCCTATCTTCCCACATGCACATGTGTATTTCCATGCTTTCTATCTCTTACTGATATACACAATGAGACCTGGGATGGGAGTTGCCTTTATAACTAGCAGACCCTAGCAGCATCAGCTGCCCATAGCAAACTATTTAATTTTGTATTGAAAGCCTCCACAGAAAAGATAAAGAGTCAGAATCTTGCATCAGATGTTGTATTTATGTCTCCCACTTCCTTTCCACCCAGATCATTTTGCCATCATCATGCAGACTCCTTGGAGGACAGCCAAGTCAATCTCATGTCTGGATGTACTTTCACTGCCTCTAAATTTCCTGCAAGAAATCAGGGCAGAAATATCATATCTGGGCTACAAAAATCTGGACTTTCATTGGATGGCAACAAAGAGATGCCATCTTTATGGATGCCTGGAGTTTTACAACCTAAATATGCTAAACTTACAGGAAGGCAGACATGAACCAATGAAAATGGCAGGCAAAGGGGGAGCCACCAGAGAGAAGACATGGAAAATATTTACAAAATCCCGACTGTCTGGCATAATTCTGAACATCTGACCACTCTAAACAAGTGCCTTAGAGCAAACTAAAGGCATCTTGGTACGAAATTGTGCCTGCTCACCTTGCTAGCAGTGGGCGGATATACTGTGACAGTTAAGCCAAAAGGTTCTCAAAACAGAGGTACAAATTATGTCAGCAATATTGAGGTTCAGGGCCATGAAATACAGAGCAAAGAATCCATGGAAGCATGGAAAAGACACAAAGAAGCATCAACGGGGTGTAAAGTCCCAGGAGTATAAGAAAGGAACTGTCCCTTCACCGTGACAGACGAGAATCAGCTGTTTAATAAGCCTTCTAGGTTGCAATAAAGATTTGTATTTAGTCACACTACGTTGAATGTACAGAGAACCGCTGCTGTAGATTAAGCTTCCTGCAGGAACTAAGGAAGATGACCTTGACAGAGACTTCTGTTGCCTAGCCAAGCCTGTTAAAATCAGGATTTAAAGATTTACTGCTGAGTCCTTGACAGGGAAGCCTGACACATTTATTAATGGTGGATTCTGGGCTGGGATTTCCTTATTTCCAGTTCAACAAATCCAATGTGTTCTCAGTAGAACTAATGAATTTATCAAGATACTACTGTATGTAAAGTTCAGAAGGTCCATCTGGCTAGGCTAATATAGCTTAGGTTGCTGGTGAGGGTTAAGTTAGAGTTGACAGCAATTTCCCCTGCAAGCTGGCCACATGGAGACTTGGGAGCAGATGATGCTATTGGATTGCTAACTGTGGAGTAGCTATGCAATTATAAGAAGTGTAAATGAGCTTCCTTATACCTATTGCTGATTCTAGATGTGCAGGTTATGTGCAGGGTTAGGTACCGAAGGAATAACTGCCCTGGATATGATCTGTGAAACAGGAATGTTCCAAACAAGCCTCCCCATGTGCCTAACTGTTTAATTCGCACATGTAGAATGCCATGCCAAAGCCTAATAATTAATAAGCACTGCTGATAAATCTCCACGGGAACAATTAGCATTATCTTCACTTGATAAACAGTTGCACACTAAATCTACAGCCCAAAGAGTGTCCTCTTTCTCTTTAACAGATTTAATTAAAGCCTATATTGTCCAGATTATAACATGGAGGTGTTCGATAAATCTCACATTTTTTTTCTTTCTTTTAATGGGAGGAGAACTGGGACCTCTGGAAATTCTTTACTGAAAATCAATAGTGAGGTTTTCAGTTTCTTCTAGCAACAATCATTATTTCATCTGGATCAGGAGATAAATTCCCTTCCCCCCCCCCCCCCCCAAAAAACCTGGTCTGGTGGAGTGAGTAGTGGCATTATGATAAGATGTCTGTTGCAGTCAGAACCTGATGATATAAGA